GTTTGTGTGTGTGTGGATGTGTGCGCGCTTCATTATTAGCCGCCATTGCCACTGGTTTTACTGCCGCATATTAATTTTGCGCCCGCTCCCACCGCGCACAGCACTCATGACATTCATTCACAAGCGGACTTCAGGTCTCTACCTCAGTTTGGGCTTGGCAAAAAAAGGGAAAAAATTCGTATTTAGTCGTCTTAGCAGCTACTGGCCTTTAGTTTTAGCACCAAATCGTTGTTGTTGCCTGATAAAATATAACCTTTTGTTGTGTTGTCTTGCGGCTGGACATTTTGTTTTTGGCGTTGACATTCGTTTGGCTCATACAAATATTTTAATTTACCTCAGTTGGCTTGAAATATGTGTATGGCTCAGATTTCGAGGCAAAAGGGGGAACAGTTTAGTCGCAAATTTGACACTTGTAAGGTTTGGAGTTATATATAATTGTGCAGATTCTCTTAAGACTGACATAATTTAAAAACAAAAATTCTCAAAATTGTAGAAAACTGTCCAGAAATGACTTGTCATAGTATTGTCATCATATAGTCATACATGACACCTGCCTTTTTTTTTGTAAAAAAAAGCGCAAAATGGTTTAGAATAACTTTTTAGGCCAATAAAAGTCGGACTAAGCAAAATTGAGTAGAGTTTTAGTTGATAACTGCAAAAGAAAAAAGTTATCGAATTGTCATGTGAGTCTTTTCTCCAGAAAACAAAAAAAGATAAGCGAAAAATAACATATTACATAACACAGAAAACAAGCTTTTCCTTAAAACTGGAAGTGCGAAAAAAAAAATGTTATCGAAATCGAATTGTCATATGTGAGTCTCCTTTCAAAATAACAAAGAAAGACGAGCGTGACTCCGCTATAATTCTATAAAAGGCAAGTCAACTTTATAATATAAACGACAATTAACACATTCACAGTATAAAGATTTAAAAAATTTGCCGAATAATCGCTTTCTAGTACCTAATATAATCGGTTTGCTACCGATACATTGTATTAAATTATTCCCCTTAAAAAGACGAATCAAAGCTTGCTAAACGCAGAAAGTGGTTATCATTAATATACATTTTTATCAGCGCTAAGGAAAGATCAGATTTCGTTTACAAAATGAAGCCGAAGACGTGTAATCGAATTGTCATAAATTTTTTTATACAATTTTTAACAAAAATAAGCACACAGACAGCGCGTTAGCAATTTGTAAACCATGTTAACAGGACGCTATAAATTGTATCGAGTTATCACAGCCAAAATGTTACAGAAATATCGATTAGAATTGATGTTATCAATTGCTAATAGATACATTTCTTATGCTAAACTATTTTATGGATATTTTATGGAAATATTAACGCGAATAACTGTTTATGCAGCCAAAATGCAATGCTATCGATATGTCATACATATTCAGAAATTGTTGTCGAACTGTTAAGCGTCAGATGTTTTAAGTAATAAGCATGCATTAGGCAAAATTTGTGCACACGTGTTTGACGGAACTTATTTGTCAATTGTTTCACTAAAAAAGAGTGCTTGTATAACCGTAGTTATCGAATTGTCATACTTAATTTTTGCAGTATTTTAAATTTAAGCGCGTATTTATATATTGAAAACATGGTGCTGATTAAATGAGCAAAGTTCAATGCATGCAATAGATTTGTTATCGATTTATCGATTTTTTATCGAATTATCGAAATTGTTATCGATTTGTAACATATACTATATTTTCAAAAATAACGAAGACTGTTCCAAAAACTTTATTTCGAATAATAACATTATGTTATCGAACTGTCATAAATGCACTTTTCTCTGAATAACAACTGAAAAACTTCTCAGAAATAAGTGTTTTTGAAAACTATTTAAAATTTAACACGAATTTAAGTAAATTTTGGGCAAAAAGTAGACTACAGATATTATAAGAATGCTGTCATCCAACAGTCGTGCCTATATTGGAGCTTATTCCCGACAATTTGAAGCAGAGAAAACATGTTAACATAATTTGTCGTATAAATTTCAATAGTGTTTTGTAGAAATTAGCGATATAAGCTTGAATACTTTCCTAAAAGCCAATTTATTGAACTGTTATGCCTTCAATTTCTTATTGTAAATGTAAGAAACGCTCCTCAAAGTACAAAAATTTGGTTTTTTTGCACGAGAATTTCAAATAATTAATTTAATTCGCTTAATAAAGCCACAAAAACCTGATATCTAAGAGTAAAACATCGTTTCATCTATTTCAACAATTTTTCTCCGCCGAGTTCAACAAATATTTACTTATGTGTTTCATTCAATATACGCACTCAACGTGCTGCCACAAGAAGCTGAAAGCCGAAAAAAATCATGCCACTTGTACCCTGACTGCACTGACTGATTTCCACGCCGCCACAACTGTTTATTTGCCCTTCATCTTCTTCTTCCTGTTCGGTTTTCTATACTATTATTTTGCTTTCATTTTTGCCTTGTTGACCGTTTTGTTTTTGTTTTGTGGCACGCTGATTTTGTAGCGCCATTAAGCTACTTAAATTTCACAACCGCAGCGTACAACAAGCAGCGCCCAACTGTAAGCAAACAAGCTATGCAAATATTTGTTAAACAACAACAAAGTTGCCAAACACTCGCTCTCATACACAAACATACATAGATATGCAGGCACTTTTAATGCACAAGTGAAATATGTAAGTAATATCGGAATGTCATTTTAGCTGCCGCATACACATTTTTTCTAACCACAATCGGATTTTGGAGTTTTTGTTTTTTTTTTTGAAATTTTATCGAAAAATTTGATGCGAGCGTTAATTTGCGGTGACTGGCTGACACTTGCTTGATAAGTATGAATTTTTTGACGCAAAATATTACACAAACAAAAATAAAAATTTATATTTTTGTAAGTTTGTCCAAATTCGGATAAATTAGGGAAA